GGGCTGCCTCAACAAAGTGGCTTATGTGCTTTAACAAATATCAGCTGTTTGTCGGGGTGTAATGAACAAACTCGGGCTAGAGCGACAACTGCTTCAAGTCATTATGAAGACAGCTTGCAAACTATAGCCCCGCTTGTTTTGAGCCCCCAGTGACGGCAGCCTGAATGCTGTTCCTGCCAGCTTGATTTCAAAGCATGTTTCTTTCCATATTTCAAAGGTCAGTGTGCGTGGTGGTGGCCAGCAAGAGGCTGTGGGTGTCAGGGAGACAAAGGAAGCCCTCTGAGGGTGTCCAGAATTCTGCTCCGTTATTAGCAGCCTGATAATATTAACAGTGACTAGTTTGTCTTCATTATGACTAAAGCTGAGAATGGTGTCCCTTGTGCGAGGTGCTAGGCAGATGCACTGGCTTGGTTCAGATATAATAAAAAGCCACCATTTCCTGCTATATGAGCCATGGTGAGCCTTGGGTCACACACTCTTCACACACCAGAAGATATTGCAAGCATTTGCTTCCAGTTTTAAATGAACCAAAGTTTCTCCATGAAATGTGAACTTGGGGAACCAAAGTCAAGTTCTGAAAGCATGTGGCGTATTCAGCTATGTTTACTCAGCGTAGAACCACTGAAATTAATTAACCTAATGAATACCACTCATGGGCTGGATATGACTGCTTCTCACTAACTATAGTTTAAGCAAACAACAGTTCCCTGAGTTTGGAACTACAGGTGAACTGTGGTTTACAATGACCTTCCAATGTACTCTTCTGGGGTGAAAAGAGGAGAGGGGGGAAGCATGCAAACCTGAGACTTGTCACAACTTATTCACATGGTTTTCCTGTTATGTTTCAACTCTGTCACTGAGTTTTAGGGCTCACAATCTAAACGAACAACACATTGCATATGAAATGGAACAGTATTTCTTTCCTTGGGCAAAGTAACATGCATTCCCCAATGAATTCATCATTTGAAACTATCTCCTTCCAAGCTGTTCCGAACATAAAAGCCAATAATAGTGAACAGTTATAGAGTTAAGGTAGAAAGATAAAATAAGGGTTGACCAAGGCCTCCAGATATTGTTGGACTTCACTCCCATCCACCTCAGTCAGTCTGGCCAATGGTCAGGGGGAGTTGTAGTCCCCGATCGCATATGGAGAACCACAAGTTCCCTATCCCTGAAGTAAATGAAATGCAGATGTAAGACATGGCAGAAGAAAGGCTTTTCCTGAGTAGAGAATGGCGGACAGTTGACACTCAGGAGATGGAGACTTAACCATGAAGCATATGAAAACTAAGAAAACAGTTGATAGCTTAAGTTTGCTAAGCGGCGTCAAGGTAGAACATGACAGCCCCATCTGAAGTCTTCGCAAGACATCCCACAAGAATGCGGCTGTGCTTACAGCTGCTAATGTCTGACCTTACCAAAGTTTCTCTTGTGTACTGTTATCTGCTGGGTCACTTGGCTAAATGGCCGGGCAATGCTTTCAAAGCTGCTCTAACCCTGCCTGCCTCCCATCTTAGTGCAAAGACTTATTCCCGACCTCCTGCTGGAAGGAAACACATATGCACCATGAAAAGAACACAATGCCCAAAGCATGCCACAAAATGACAGCGGGGAACAATACATGAAAGGCCACGCCAGATGTTGCAAAGACATAACTGTGCAGAACGGCTGCCATGTGTCCTCGCAGTGAAGACTAAGGGCTGATAGGGAGGGGGCATATTTGCAAACACATGGCAAACATGTGACCGGAAATCTCAGTCAGTCGCTTGCATCCATATTGTTAAAGTAGAGGATGTTCTTTAAGTACTGGTTGTCTAATGAAGCTTCCAGCTGCCACTTCTGGTGGAAACAGCCCCAAGCCAGATGTGGGGGAAGTAACACAGCCAAAGAAGAGGAACTTCCTAGTGTGAGACTTTTGCTCTGCGATTGTTTTGCTTCCCTGTCCTCCATCTCTGCTCATCCATGCTGATTTGCTGTTAGTTTGAATGGGCAACATTGCCTCTGTGTGGTTAATTCAGTGTACCCAACAGTTACAAAAGCCTCTGTGTAAAGAAACATTCTACTAACGATTCTTCTTTAGGAATTTTATAATTCCCTTTGAGGCGAAAATCACTCTGGCTGAATGTGTTGCTAGTCTTCTTCATATTGTTACAGTTAAGTATTGCCATCTCTTAGGCTTCTCTTGCTGCCGTGCTATTTAGAAATATTTATGAGAAGCAAGTGAGCATTGCCTTAATTTTCAGCATTCACTAGCCATGTACAACTACCACACAGAGAAATCTAATGCAATATGAATTTAATCACTTTCATTAACTTTAATGGGAAAAGCCAGCTTGGTTTTCTAGTTATAGAAGTCATTTTGTGCTGACTGCTTCCAGGCTCTTGGCTGAAATTGAAATCTATATCTGGATAGGAATTTCATATATTAATTTCTAACCATGGACATCTCAAGCTTCCGTGAGGGAAGCAGCATTAATTTAGACCACTAACAATGGGGGAACTGTTGGAGGCTCTGTGTTGAATTAGCAGAGTGGTAGGAATGAAAGGAACTGTTTTGTAGAAGCCTATGCAATTCTATGGTGCTTGTTAGAGATCTATGGAGAGATCCATTATGTTTAATGAAGTGTGCATGCATGAAACTCTTATAAATATAGAATAGCAGGCTATCTGTTGGTGAAAAAAGAGCTAAATGAACTATGTCTCCTTTTTCTAGGGCTGTTTGCATTCTGTACATTTAAAGCTCATTTCCCCCCATCCTGAGAATTATGGGAACTGTAGTTTAGCCCCTCAAGTTACAATTCCATGCACACTTAACAAACTACAGTACCATTTCCAGGATTCATTTTTTGTGGGGGCGAGGAATGCTTTAAATGCATGGTGTGCACACAGCCGAGGGCAGAGGGCTTTCTGTTTGATGGCTTCATGTTCAGTTTGACCTTGATATTAACATTTTTGGTTTATCTACATGTCTTCATACATTTATGCTCTGCTCAGGCCTACACATTGCTTTCAACCCATCTAGGTTTCCCTCCTGGTCTGTATCTTATTTGCCAGCTCACTCAGGGCCAAACTGAAATACACATGAATATATCTCAGCCTCTTTAAAACAGATAGCAGATGCAGAAAGGCCCAGGCTAGATATGGACATCAGGGGAGATGTGTGAGAGTTAACCTTCCCTCCATTTGCCTCAGTGAAAATCACTCTCCCACCCAAGCTGCTGTTTGCTCCACGAGGAAAGACGTTGTAAACAAATAGCAACCAACTGGTGGGAAGGGAGGCAGATTTTCATTAGGCAAAATAACCCAGGTAGAAGGGTTAATCCCGTCTTTCCTCACACCATCATGATTGTGCCCCTCCTCAGGCAGGTGCTATGATTCAGAGATTGAGATGGATTCCCATTATTCCATCATCGTGTCTTGATTGGTCTTAATATTACTGGCGATCCTTCACCATATAATTTGTTCATAGAAGAGAGGAAATCAGTTTGATATCATGTTCTTGTGAGACACTGAATTAGTGCGCAAGCGAATGAGGAAGCATCAGTTTGGGAAATGGAAAAAATCAAAGTGATTTGCCCTCTCATCCAAAGGTCTCTTTGGTAATTAGGCAGAAACCTATTTTATGTCCAGTTTCTTAGCTTCAATTTTACCACAGCCAAACTGTCTCTTTTTAAATTTAGAATGCATTTTACTGACATTTTTACCATTCTCTCACTTTAGTCTTGAAATGAATTCATAAATAATCCAATAAATACCTAGAGATCATGCCGGTATATTAAGCTATAGGTGAGATATATTAAATGTGTATTACAAGAAAATTGTTTTGTTTCCACACCACTTTCATCAGGTTTGCTTGATGTAAATTTCACTGAGATCAAAGAGATTTGCCTCCATATAAATATGGCTTCAAGATTCACTAATAAAAGGTTATTATCCTATCATCCCATCCCATCATTATTCTATAAATAAATTTATTTCCATATGTTTATAGAAGAATGGTCAGCTGTGTAGGTTGTTAATGCATCTGTTCAGCTCAAATTTCTGTTTCTGTGGGTGGCATCAGACTTATGCAAAATAGACCCACTGAAATCAATAGTGTCAGATCCCATCCTATGAATTTTAGACCACTTTTTCATACCACACTAAAATAAATAAACAAGAGGTGCAAGGGAGGAAGAGGCTAAAAAGTGGTTGAATCAATTTGCCAAATTGAAGAGCATTTCCTTGTAAGTTTTCAGATACTTGCTTTCTCTTGTGCGCTAGCAAAAACTCATATGCCTGCTTCGTTTCTCTTTGGATCTCACTGATATGGTTGGGACTGACGAGCACCATAAATATGACCAACCTGAATGCAAGGCTGCAAAAAGGAAGGAAAGAAGGAAGGAAGATGATGAAGTTCCTGCACACCAAAAAACAACAACACATCCACAACAAACTACCGTATTGGCCTGAATATAAGCCTCACTTTCCCCCCAAATTCCGACCATGAAATGTTAAAGTGCGGCTTATATTCGTGACTTTGTGGTATGCAGCCAGGAACACAGCAAAGCAGCACCTGCCCCTGTCCTCTCCCCCATGGCCAGGAAGGGAGAGAGCGAGGAAGGGGAAAGGCTGCCAGCAACGCAGCGTGGCTCCCCCCCCAAAGTATGCAGCCAGGAGCAGCGAGGAATGGAGCGGCTTATATTCGGGTTTCCCCCCTTTTTTCCTCCCCCCCTCCAATTTTAAAGGTGCAGCTTATATTTGGGTGCAGCTTATATTTGGGGCAATACGGTATGTCTGTTATGTGAATCACTGAACTCATCAGCATTACATGTTTTCTGGACGAATTTTTCAATTTGATTTTTGCGCTGCAAGATAAAGCAGCACAAGACATCTTTGGGCACTTTTGTCTTGTGCCTTCAACATGTTTTCTGTAACATTAATTCAAAGGAAATGTTTCTTGGAAGATAAGTCATGCTACCATTTTTCTGGATTTCGGACCATTTCTCTCTTCTGTTCAGAATAGGTTGGCAAGATCCAGAAGAAAATGAACTGGCCAAAACTCTGAATGATATTCCAGTTTTCCCTCCATTGTGATGTCTGGTTGATGATTCAATACTGCCATTTAAGAGGTATGGGTAGACAGAATTCAGACAAGCTGAGCATTGGGTAAGTCTGGTGGAAAGCTACACTGACAGCGTAAATACTTATTTCACTGTACTATAATTAAAGCTGTCACTCAGTGTAATTAGTTAATCCTGATATTTTATAAATAAAGGGATTAAATCCTAGTTCCAGATTCTGCAATCAACATTTTGAACATATACCATCCAGCAGGAAAACGCTGTCCAACAAGCAACTATCTAATGTCTCTCTGTGTGTCTTAACTGTGTTAATTAGATTGCAGAGGTCCTTAAATGGGATTTATTTATTAGGTTGATCACAATGCACTATGCTCCTTTTCATTCAGTAAATGCCTTTATGTAATTATGGTCCTCCCAAGGGACTGTGGAAAGGAGTAATCTTAAATATCCCACATGGAGAAGAGACAGCATAGATAATGTGGGTCTTCTGTAGAACCTGTTGCCTCATTCCTTTGAAACCACCCCCCCCATCAAATTCTCTCACTGAGGTTGAATAAGAGTGAAAAGGAATGGCAGAAAGGGTGGGGCCCAGTGAACATGGTCTCACTGTGTCCCTCATTCAACTGAAGTCACGATTTGAATTGTGTGAAGACAATGAAGGCCAAATATGGCTACTGTCGTTCTGTTATTTGGCCGAATCAGTGATGTTAAGCTTGCCCTTTGGCTAAGCTGAATATTGCAGGTGGTCTAACACCACAAACAGGTTTTACTTAGAGCAACCATCATGCATAAACCTTTCAAGCTGCTTCCTGCGGGGTTCTTGAAATATAAACATTAGCTATGAATAGTCCTGTCTTTGTTGTCAAACATCAGTGGAAGCACTGTATGTGAAAACCTTCCAGTGCCTACTGCTGACATTCGTTTTATGAAATGCAATATATGTGAGTATAGCTGAATAGGCTTGTATTTTCCAGTTGGAAGCCTTTCAAGTAGCCTCTTATGTGGTGCCATAAAGGTAAGAAAATAAGGTAGTTTCAAAAATCCTAGCCAAGGAAACCAGAATAGTGGTCCAAAAGAAAGCAGGGTGCTTTAATCACTTAATAAAAAATTATATATGTGCCTTCAGTTATGAAGGGAACAATGAACAGACTGCTTTGGTTTCTTATTAGGTGGCTGCAAGATTCTTTTGAGGTTACACCTTAACAAAAGGCGTAACGAAGTTTACCTGTAATGCTTCTGTTGGACTATGGACATATTTTATTAAGCCGCAGAAAGATGAAGAATCCCACCTATCAGATTTCCTGATCATGAATTGCTGTGAATAGTTAAAACATGTAGAGGAACTCTGTTTTCTCCATCTGATCAATATGCTTGTTTGCCTTCAGCACATACAAGAGTGGGAGGTGTGGCATTTTTCAGCTCCTCAGAAACCACATATAGAGAAACAGGAAATACAGACGGCAAACTGTTAAAAATAACTGTAGTACGTAAATTGACCTTTTAAACAGAGCTGCAGAGATCTGCTTTATAAGGCCAAAGACAAACAAACATACATCTCTGAGGAAAATTCTGGGCTGTACAAGTTTGTAAGTCACATTGAGTCATTTTATGAGTGAAGCAACCAATACATATAAATAACAACAACAAATGAGTCAAGATACAGGGCTGCTGCGTGAAGGGCATTGGAGTGGCTAATGTTCAGTTGCGTCTTCTTAATCCCTTATCATCCAACCTTTGGTGAATTTTAAGTTGTGTTTCAAATCCTTCGGAATTAAAAACAAACACCACAGCATAGCTGTCAATTTACAGATTTGAAAATAAGGGACCAACAGCCAAAATAAGGGACCTGCAGCCTCACCTGTTCCAGGCACTCTAGTCTTCCTGTCCTCCTGCAGTCTGGTCAAACTCATGCTGGTAGCTTCGAGAACACTGTCCAACCAACTTTGTAACCAGAGGTTCAATGAATAGAATCTGAATCACATGCACCACAAGGCCTATGCAGCCTCAACTTAAAATGGCTCCCCGACCTGGCTTTGCACTGCAAAGTTTGCAGCAGCACGTGCAACAAAATGGCGTCCAGCATTCAAAAAACCCCTCAGCTTGCATTAACTAGCCACACACAAGGCATGCAAGCTCCACCCCCCAATCGTTCTTAGACTTCTTATTGGGTGAGCAACACAGCCAAGCAACACAGTTGGAGCCTCCCTCCTCCCTGGCCAGCAGGGAGGGAGGGAGAGAAGCTGCTTCCTTTGAAATTTAAGGGACATCATTTAAGGGACATTTAAGGGACATCCATCAATAAGGGACAGCAGCGGGACATGACACTGGAATAAGGGACTGTCCCTTCAAATAAGGGACACTTGACAGCTATGCACCACAGTCTGAACTGCTGGAGAAATGTTGTAAGGCTTCAAGAAGCTAAGGATGTATGCTGATTTTTGCATTCCTGTCTACTAAATGGCTAAGTATAAACAGTGAAATGGGGTTAGATACACAGGAGCACTAATACCTTTCCTGGGCTTATGTTTTATTTGTGTTGCTATAGTTCATATGTGGAATATAATAATTTTAAAGGAGAAATAAAAAAGTAACAAATGCTCTTTAAATGTGTTTGGGTGTGTGTGCCTGTGTGTGCAGTTTGCCTCTCAGAGCCAATGCACACCCTTAACGTTTATTCAGAGAATAGCTAGCTTGCATTGATTTGTAATGTGGGAACCTGGCTGTTGAAGAATTAAACAGGAACCATGTAAAAATTAGGCATTAAATTCAACATTTCTGCTTGCCCGATGGAATGATCTCCTCATTCTCCTCCATGCATGCTGTTCTGGAAGGTTCTCTTGGCATTCCAGAACAGATTTGGACGAGAATAAAATTTCAGAAATGAAATTAAAGCACTGAGGAAGAGGTGAGCATGGTGTTATGGAAATGATGTGGGGGACATCTTTAAAGTTGTTACAGTGTTAAAAAAGTTATGCCTAAACGTATCCTTTCAACTTGACAGCTCAGGAAAGATACCTAGCTTTATAAATTCATGTAAAATTAGTAGTTTGACCAATTCTCTTCATTCCAACTCCATTTTAGCCTTAGAGGAAAGGAATCCTTTACCTTTCTCTCCCACCATAATCCCGCAAGAGTGAGGGCATGTACACAACACCCCACCCAGGCAGTGACTTCTGATCCACCCTAAACCACTGCGACCCCGATGTGAAATGGTTTGGATCCCAATGTATTGGAATATCCCTGTATCAGGTAAACCCAAGTTTTAGGGGGAAAGCATTGAAACTGGTATTGTTGGAGGTTAACATCATGTGAACTACACAATTTAAATGGAAATGAAAAAAGTCTAATACTGGATTGGGCAAGGCATCTATGACATACGTCGCCTTACCCTTTTACTAGATAGATAGATAGATAGATAGATAGATAGATAGATAGATTTCATCTTTTCTCTGTTCTTTACTTTGGGACACCAAGCTGCTCCCACAGTTTTCAAGCCTATAAGTATAGAATAATAAACTAGGCCAGGAATATGAGTTTCCCAAGCGCCATAAATGTTTAAGACAAGTACCATTGTCTGCCACTAGACTTCTTAGTATATTTGTGTACTAGAACAAAACACCTGCTTAGACCTATATTGGTTTGCACAGTCACACTTTTGTGCATTCAAACAAAATCAAGAGTAGTCAATCAGTGGTGTATGTGATACTCAGATTAGTATGTAAGACCTTCTGCTGGGTAGACATATGGATAAACTAAGCAGAGATTAACCAGGTCTGAGTTGGCATTAAAATCCTGATGTCAAATTCTAGCGCTTAATGATATAAAAACAAAACAAGACTAGGACAAAAGTAATCCAGTCTGATTGTGGTTTCATTTTTCAAGATTACGATATTGTGGCCCTCCAGGAATGGCTGCAGTGATTACCCAGAAATGATACCCAATTGTCTACAGATGACATGAGGGACCCTCCATTGCTTTCCTTTTCTTCTTTGTAGTTAGATTTGCATTTGTCTGTGGATTCCAAGCAAGAAAGCAACATTTGAAGACAAAGGAATTTACTTCTGAGTAAACATGCATAGGCTTATGCTGAAGTGCCCAGCCCAGAGTGGTATTTTGGGCACACATCCATATGATGCACCCACCTTGCAAAAACTAAGCAGATCTGACTGGTGCCTGGAGCTCCATATATGCCGCCCTGAGAACCTCCTCATGAAAGAAAGGTGGTGTATAAATGTAAGAAATAAATAACGTTAAATAAAACATCTGACATATAAGTTGCATCTCCTCTGAATGTTTGTTGGATTTGCAATTCTTAACTGCTTCTCCAGGGAGAGGCCCAAAGTGATAAACCTCTGCTCGTGACAAATTATTTCTATTTCGCCATCTCGTTTATTTGTGAGGAGGACCCTCTATCGTGTGACACTTGGGCCACACTAACCTATTTGAAACACACAAAAATGTAGTTCTCGATCCAGTATTATTCATGCCCATCCTCAACATGCTGCTTTCAATCTAGATTGATTCTAGATCCCACTGTCCACAAAACTGAGTGCGGTTACTTGATGCATGTTTGAAAATCCTCTCCTTGACTAGGGTTATCCATGCCTTTTCCTTCCTGCACATGTCCCAGGTGAATGAAGGAGGAAGTGGTGATTGTGATCTTGGTCTATGCCCAGCCACAACACCGTTGGGAAGGCGTGGATATACTCAATCCATTTCCAGGACTGCCTACACCTGTTTTTTAAAACTCTTTCCAGATGGATGCACTATAGGGTAATGCAGAATCCATCTGCAATTAGCATTTGTTTTTAGAATGAAACTTGTTTCTCGATAAGATTTTTTATGAGCAAAAAACATGCAACAGTCTTTTGAAGCCTGAGCATTTGCACAGGACCAACTGCATTTGAAGAGGGAGGCGTTGGTGGTTTACCGTGGATCTCACATCACACATATTGTTGCAGGGATGAACAAGCTAAAGACAATGTTTTTTTAAAGAAAAAGCATATAATTAATAATATGATACACTCGGAAGAGCTCTTTCTGACATCATACTCCAATTCATTTCCATTTTACTCTCTTCAACATAGGACATCAAAGCAGGTCCAGACCTTTGGTACATGTGCTTAGCCAAGAAGCCAATGGGAGGAAATGACATGGCAACTTAGGAGGTTTCAATGTGGATCTGATGATTTCAGGCAAACGGCTTCCCATCTGAAACTGAGCTCTATGAAGTATATTCTACCCTGAAAAAATTACTGTGTGAATTGGCTGTACTGTATATCCTCCTCCTTATTTTCCTTTACACTCATCTCTCCCTTTCTCCAGTTCCCTAAAAAATAATCTGTTCTCTCCCTCTATGGTTTCAGAAAATAAACTGTATAAAGTCCAGAAGCAAAACCCCTAAAGTGAGTGGCAGGAAGCAATGTTGGCATGTCAGGGGAAATTTCAGAGGACTGAAGTCAATGGTCAAAATAACTTTGCATTTAGTTGAATGGGAAGTGATCATGGCTTGCTTGTTATCTTCCTCAGGCTCCACTAATTTGTGTTATTCTGCTAACACAGGAAAACAACATATGTTTCAGATTTCTACAGGACTGAAACATCCAGCCATCTACTTCCCCACCCTATGAGATTATAAACAGAAAAAACCTTGCTTATCCAGACATCTCTAATCCAAATACTTTATTTTTTCTGAACATACTTTATGGTTCACTCATATGCCTTCCATATACATGCCATCCCCCATTAAGTAAATATTTTTCCACAGTGTCAGTACTTTCCATTCCTGCCACTTTCACATGGATATAGTTATCAGGGTGCTTCCAAACAGACATGAAACTGGCTGGCAGTCTTTCCTTTACAAACAGGGCACCAGCTTGCTGAAAAGCAAGATCGTATAAATCTTTTTTCCCCCTATGGCATAACTATACAATGAAATTGCCATCCTGCTTACTTTGGCAGGCAGGAGCAGTGGGCAGGAAAAAGACAATTTGAACATTAGGGGGAAAGCAATGTACACTATGACATACATTGTCATTGGCCTGCAGTGTGTTTGTTTTCTATATGTTTATTAAAGCTTTACAAATGCACAACATTGAAAAATTGTAACAACAAAAGAGATTACTGAGTGCAACTTAAAGTCACAGATGTTCTTGTGCTTTTTGTTCTGGCGTGTCCAAGCAAAATAAAGCCTCTACAAGGCCAGTTCTAGGAACAGAGGGACAATTATTCATGAAGGGATACTGAGTTGTACAGAAGTCATCAGGGTGTGTCACATTTCTTGATGAGTTCAATAAAATTAAATTCCATGCACAAGTCTATCTCTTCTCCAAAGAGCCTTTGTTAGAGTCCTTACAACAGTGCAGCTTCTAAGCAAGCTATGGCCATCAAGGCAATTATCATTATAGTATCTTTATTTAAAAAAACATGTTTATCCTAATTGGTGAATAGCATTAACACCATTAATCTGGGCTCAAGCTCCACGATCTGCCTAGTAATCCAAGATATCTCATGAAATTCCCCCCACTCCCTCCAAAAATGTCTCATATATTCCCACAACATGTGCCACCAGCACAGTAGAGACATCCCTCTGGGACTGAGTCTTGCACAGTTATTTTGTTTATTAAAACCTCCTTCACTGAGACTGCAGTCCTATGGCCATTTACCTGGTGGTAGAACATATTGTTTATTGGTTATGTACACTGCTTAGAGAGTTTGTGATTAAGCAATCTATAGTTTTTTCTAAATAAATAAATAAATAATAATAATAATAGTAATAAACGAATAGGCCCAATTCATTTACATTTTCCACATTCACTATTAAACAATAATGTAGCATCTTTAGGGTTCATTCTGTAGCCAAACTGCAAGATTAATTACAATGGCTAGTAGTGTTAAAGACACAATGGAGTGAATCTGAAGTACATATGAGTTCTTTTCTAAGGCCAGCTCAACTTGCTGGCATCACCCATTGAGTTGGGTAGATTTTGAAGGCCCATATTGCTGACTGATCAGAGTGTCTTCAAGTGAGTAGCAGTGCACACAGAAAGTATTTCAAATTTGCCTTGATCATAGAGAATGAGGCACTATGAAAAAAAGGGGGAAAGTTTAATGCAGTAATAAAGCCAGGCAAATAAACTGCATAATCAAATCAGAACCATAAATTGTTAAGGAAAATGAGCTCAGTCTTATTAGATTCTTATGGCAAATTCAATCAGTGATTTATAATCTCACCTGCTCCACATTCAAAATGCTGAGTTATGTTACTGTATCTGTAGGGAAAATTACTTCACATAATAATAAGGCTCCATCTATTTCAAGTATCAACTTGATTAAAGTAACATCTGGGAAAGACGGAAAAAAAATAAGCTGCTGAGCATCTCACTCTGCAAATTTGTTATATTTGATAGCCCTCATAAATGTACTGTTAGTAACATTATCTTTTTATTTGAATTCCAGGCCTTGCCTTATATCTTTTTCAATACGTTGTATTATGCTTTTAAACTTTGTGATAAAAGCAATTTGTGATGCACTACTTCTAAAAGAGGTTTATTTACTTAAAAGGCAGATTGCCACTGGCTAGGGTAGAAATCTCTCTCTCTCCCCCTTGCCACGTGCAATCCGAAATGATTTCTGCTTCATAATAGCAAAGCTACTGTTAAATGAGTCCTGCTGAAGAAAAAATGGCTTTAATCTCAGAGTCAACATTCAGAATACAGAGGGAAAATCAATGAAGGTGAAGGTTATAGAAAGAAATGATTTGAATGTACAATGAGGCAGTCTCCCACACAATAAAGGTAGAAAATAATTAGGTCTATCGGAATATACAAAGCACAAACACCCTATAAGTGTGTTCTGAAACCACCGCATCATTTTATTGACTTCAGTCGTGTAAATGACTGTGGTAGATAAGTGGATGATGGGCAAAGAGACCCATAAATTCAGAAGTGCTAAGAATATTTTCCCAGCAAAGCGCTATGCATTTTACTTAGATGTGAGGATCGCTACGTTCAATGGGGCTTACTCCCTTTCAAGTATGTTCTTGAAGATATGAAATGTGTAAAATACACTGAATTCGAGGACAATGTTAATATATTCGAGTTTGGATAAAGAAACCATATACCCAGAATAAATCCCAGCTGAAGCACTGCTTTTGTTAAGTGTGGCAAATGTTTAGAGTGCTGATGACTGAAAACTAGGGATTAATTACCAGATGGGGTTAATGGACTAGGGTGATTAACTGATTCTAGCCAGTTGTTAATCCCATGGAAATACACTGTTTTCAATGTTATCAGTTAAAAATTACACCCTGGAGTCCTGCTATTATTCTTTGCTCATTTATTTTCCAAAAATATTTGTCAAAAGCAGAGGCAGGGTAATCAAAATGAATGCAAGCAATAAAATGTCATCTTCTTGACTTTGACTATTTATATAATTTAATTTAAAGAGGGATATGTCAAGTTAGGCCTTGGACTCCTCAATGCTAAAGATGCGTGCAACTGTGACAATGGAACACACACCTGTGCTGATAGTAGAACAGTGACAATAGCCCCATTCACACATTACTACATGCAGAGCAATGGTATGTTGATTTGTGCATTGCATGTGGTTGTCTGTAAGGAAACCCCAACAATAGAAATCCTGCTTGCATAGTCAGGTCACCTGGTCTTGTGGGTGCCCCACAAATCCCTAAACAATGGGGGCCCAAAGTACTTTAGGCCCAAAGTACTTGATTCCTTCTGCTTCACCTCAGTAGCTGAGGTCTTCTGATGGAGCCCTTTTGGTGGTCCCACATGCCCCAAATATTTGGCTGGTGAAGCCATTAGTGTGGCAGCCCTGCCCTGTGGATCTCCTCACCAACAGAGGTTCGGCAGAAGCCAGCCCCGCTCATTTTTAAGGTGTCTTCAAAAAACTTCTATTCATGCAGGCCTTTCAAACCCAATATTCTTTGCCAACCAGCTTTTACTGATGATGCGTTGAAAATTTTATATTGTTTTTACTGTGATACCGTGTTTTTAGTTTGTATACCACCTTATGATATTATATACAACAGTGCAGGTCAGAAATATTTAAATATAGGCTGACATAATCACATAACAGCAAAGAACAGTAGTGGTGCCATAGTGTAAGGCTTGGGTGGTCCATAGCACTATGCAGGTACTTCAGAATATTCAGGGGAAACACATTTTCTAGTAGGCTTCCCAGACCTGGAAGAACAGCCGTCACTCTCCAAATGCACGCTGATTCTCTCAAAGTTCAGGGACACGAACCTCAAATGCTGTGTGTATATGTCAAGATGATGGTGAATGTGTGGAGACGTTTGCCATGTGATTAGTCAGGAGACTGAGCACAGGTGCCCTAGGTAGGAATGTGTGTTGAGCCAATGTAAATCTGTTTATCTTTAGTCACATCACACCGTTTTAGAAAGGATACAGCAATAAAAAGGTAAAGAGACCCCTGACCATTAGGTCCAGTCGTGGCCGACTCTGGGGTTGCGGCGCTCATCTCGCTTTATTGGCCGAGGGAGCTGGCGTACAGCTTCTGGGTCATGTGGCCAGCATGACTAAGCCACTTCTGGTGAGCCAGAGCAGCGCACGGAAACACCATTTACCTTCCCGCCAGAGCGGTACCTATTTATCTACTTGCACTTTGATGTGCTTTTGAACTGCTAGGTTGGCAGGAGCAGGGACCGAGCCACGGGAGCTCACCCCATCGCAGGGATTCGAACTGCTGACCTTCTGATCGGCAAGCCCTAGGCTCTGTGGTTTATCCCACAGCGCCACCCGTGTCCCCTGGTTTCACCTTTTAAGCTGAGTTTACTGAATGAATAGCATGAGAAGCAGGATCGTATCTGTATCCACTGCCCTTTGCCACAAACTCCATAAGTACAGCAGAAGCTGTGAGGGGCTCTACACAAAAGTCTAGGCATAACTGGAGTGAATTTGGATCATAAGCTTCCAATTTCCATCAGCCCCAGAAAACATAACTAATAGTCGGGGATGATGAGAGTTGGAGTTCAACAACATCTGGAGGGCCGCAAGTTCCCCACCTTTGACCTATGCACACAGTAATCTCTCCCAACTGTATACATGAGGTAGGAATTTGTTTGGTCGATTTGGTTTAGAAGCTGCAGGGCTGAAGTCTGGTTTCACATCAAAACTTGGTTGATCAAGTGAAATTAAGAGGCGGCCTGTTATTACAGAAATCCTTTGCAGATTTGGTCAACATATTCTGTGTAATGCATAGCAGTGATGTAGCCTTTCCCCCTATTAGCTTACGGGTGATAGTTCAAGGATCAGTGTTTCTTTCTCTTGTCTGTTATATGATCTGATTTGCTCTTCACATAAGTGCTCTAGTTATATAGGCATTATTTTTAGTACCTTAAAAACTTTGTAAGGTTTGGTTTAAGGAAACGGCAGCAAAACTATATAGTTCATCTTGCCAAACATCTGAATTGTTTTGGTATGATGCTTCATGGGAGTGTTTTGTGACTTTCCTATCCTTCATGGGGTAAAGGTCCCATCGTGGCCAACTCTGGGGTTGCGGCACTCATCTCACTTTATTGGCCGAGGGAGCCGACGTACAGCTTCCAGGTCATGTGGCCAGCATGACTAAGCTGTGTCTGGCGAACCAGGGCAGCGCACAGAAATGCTGTTTACCTTCCCACCGGAGCGGTACCTATTTATCTACTTGCACTTTGATGTGCTTTCGAACTGCTAGGTTGGCTGGAGCAGGGACCGAGCAATGGGAGCTCACCCCGTCGCTAGGATTCGAACCACCAACCTTCTGATCGGCAAGTCCTAGGCTCTGTGGTTTAACCCACAGCGCCACCCGCATCCCAACCTTCATGGGGTACAATGGGTAAACATCACACAGCTGATGAAAGCACCACAATTATAGAGTCCATCTGCAGTGCTTCTTGCAGTATGTTAAATATACTGATATGGAATCTAAGTACTACAAATATATTTACTGTTTATATAAAATCCATGGTAATGTACTTTGCCTGAAAGTTTAAACTGCATAATAATGGCCTTTCCCTCAGCAGTTCCGTTTTTTAAAAATTATTTTACTGATGTTGTAAAATCACAATGCACTTTCTCTTCTAGATAGGAAAAGATACATCATTTATGGTCCTGCTCTGACTGTGTAAATGACCTCACAGATAAATGGAAAGGGATATTTCAATCCTCCAGTTTATTATTGGTTGATGGCATGCTGGTCTTATCGTTCAAGACAGCGTTTAACTTTGAATAATGTATTATGCTGTCTTTCTGAAATGGTCATTATGAGGTTTTAATGCACCATAAAACAGACCTTATGATCTCCAGCTCACTAAGATGTCAGTCTAACATATTAATGCAACATATATCTTGGAAAGAAATAGTTTGGCAGCAGCAGTCTTTGCTTCTTAATATTTATTTTAGTATATGGGGGGGGGCATTTTTAATTGTTGGATTATTTTCAATTACAACCAGTTAGTAGACATTAAATTGGATTTTTGGCAGGAGCTACAGGAACACGGTCTGCGAAACACAGGGGAAGTTGGTCTCAGAGTTCCTGCTCTTTAGGAAGTGCAGCCATGGACTTACAACAAATCCGCTCACCTTCCTCAGTAGGTGGTGTTGCAGACAAACCTCAGAGCACGCAAGTCATCTGGTGAATGGCAGGCCGAATCGTTTAAGCCCAAACCCAGTATGCTGTTGTGATTCCTTTCCCTAGGGAACTGTGGAGTCACAGGGCCTTGGCATGCAGCTTCTGATTTGGCCCTTAGTATGCCAGATTGTCATAGAATCAAAACTTGTGAAACACACTAAGGGTGGATCTACACACAGGAAAAAATATCTACTATAAATAAGTCAGAAATTAAATCATTATAATAAAAGAACAAAAAACACTAGGGAAAATAGCAAATAATTTTCTTTGCTCTCTAGCGCCATCTGGTGTTGCATGTTTATAATGCGTTCAAAACGCTGTTGGTTTTTTTACTAATGTAGCTGAGTCACAAGTTGATTCTCTGACCAGTGTTATGAGAAACAAAAAGTAGGACTACAATGTGGTCAGCTTGAAAGCAGAAGTAGTCTTTTTAGTTACTTCTTTCCCCTCTACAACCACACACACACCAGCAATTCATATAGGGTAAGAAATATGAAAAAGATTGTGTTATCTTCAAACTCTTTCTAAGACCATTTTTACTATTTCAGTCACAAAGTGAACAGTCTCTGCACTTCAGACAAACCTTCCTAGTTTATTCCCTCAGTTTGAACCTCCTAGAAGCACAGTTCCTCAAACTGTGAGCTTGACCTATCTCAGGAGGTGCCTAGTGATCTCTTTCAGCAAACCTTCGCTCAAATCTAGGAAAACTGTGCAAGTTATTTCACTTAAAGTTTGTTTTGTTTCCTTCGGTTTTTCGTAAAGGACTCCGCTAAAGCTGAATCATTTCTGGCAATCTCTTTAATCTGCAATCTGTCTTTCTGCAAGATTCAGGATGCGAGTAATCAGGAATAGAAAAATTATTCATAGCTTGCTCAGTTGTGTTTTTTTTTAAAATCAGAGCTGGTCCTGCCATGAAGCCTGATGGGGTGACCTGCTTCAGGCAAGCGCCATGGCAAGAAGGAGAAAAGATGTGGGAAGGATTTTAGTTACTTAGAAAAGTGTTCCTAGAGCACAAGTTAGGGGTGGGGGAGAACTTCAATTCAGTTTGCATTTAAAGGCAAACTTACCTAATTCACACTTTCCAAAGCAAGATGCAAACTGAAACAGAGTCATGTGAAATTTGCACTTCGCAAAATTCACAGAAATTAAAGTGTAGATTCAATGCTTGTATTCGTAAATATG